GTCGGCTCATAAGGATAGTTAATTGGAGTAGTGACCTCCCCTCTACGCACACTAGCATCATAAAGTTGTATTAGTTTGAAAGAAATTATTTTGTTGAAATGCGATCATACCTTGCAAGTTAAGTTGCATGCTCTCTATTTTTGCTCTCATAGCCGCCATCTCACGTTGGTAGTCCAATTGTTGATGTTGTTGTTGTTGTTGTTGTTGTTGTTGTTGTTGTTGTCTTCTTCTTCCTTGACGTTGTTGTTATTGTTGAATAAAAGGAATGAACTCCACCTTATCTTCATCCACGCCTCATTGTTACCATTCTCATCACCAACTCCATCATCCTCCATTCTTGCTTGAGGAAGGACACCCGAATCCCTCCTTACCCACCAAAGGTGACGAACTCCTTCCCTAGTGAAGGAAGTGAACTCCGGATTAGGAGTGAAAAAATGATGCTCAAGAGAGAAGCAAGCTCCATGTCCTCCCTCTATTTCCGTATCCACAATGAATTTTATGGTCTTCAATTGATCAATATCGAACCAAATGTCATTTCCATCACCTTCCCCATGGGGGTGCAAGAACGCAGCTTAGCCGAATGACCCAACTTCTCTACTACCTTGTCACCATACCCTTACAATGGATTTCACTTGTCTTCATCCCCGTGACAACAGCCTCAATGCACTTGGTTAAAAGGAAACCAAAATTCACTCTATGGCCCCTTTCCGGTTGAACAACAAGCCACAGAACTCGGATTTCCTCCGCGGTTATCTTACCTAAATATTGCTTGTTGTAAACCGTATACCAAAGAAGTCGGTGAAGAAGACGAATGGCAGAGTGCATAATTGACTAGCTAAGGAGTACATAGCATTGAAATTGTGCATCCTCGAAATGCATTTTCACCAATGAAGGGGTTGTAGTCATGAAATTTTCAACTTTGGGAAATAAAAGGTCGACATTAGTGTTAAAATCAAGGTGTTGATTGAATTGGTGAAGGTTCATGGTTTCTTTATTGTTGAAAAGAGATGGAAAGATCATTAGCTCTGAATCTCTGATGGCATGGCATTCAAAAGAGGCGAGAAATTCAAGGGTAGGTTCTCGGTAAGTATGGTAAGCCTTTGTTACTAAGGAACCCAACCTTAAATTATTGAATAGGAACAAACAATCCTCATCAATGACAAGCTTGGTTGTTGTATCTTGATGGTAGTTCTTTGTGTATTTGAGTTTTCGGGTAAGTAAGTTCTCATATATAGGCTTGTGGTGTTAGTTTTGGAATTTGAGAGGTGGCAAGGGTGGTGGTGGTTGCTCATTGTTTTGAGGGGTTTGGGAGGTTGAACCTTGAGGCTCTTTACCACTCTTTCTCTTCTTTGAACCACCAAGACCAAACACCATTTTCACAACCACTAAGATCAAACAATTCACTCCAATATCAACAACAAGCCCACTTACTATACCCAATTCTCACAATTCACACACTCCACAATCCACCAATAATACAAATCAACCAAGATAAACCACGGATAATCACCAACAAACAACAATTATCCAAGAATATTCAAGAATTTGCAACACAAACACCATCTATACATCAAAATTCACCAAATTAATCCAAAAATATGACAAATATTATTACCAAAATAAGGCTCAAAATTCAAATAAAACTAGAGAGGAGATTATTATACCAACAATTTGTGCCAAATATCAACTCCAACTAGCCCCAATAGCAAGAATTCCAACCAAGGTTTAATGACCAAAAATGGAGAACTATGAAAATTTCGGAACTTTGATGATGAAAAAATGGTGAACGTGATGAATTTGATGTTTTGTGATGGAAAAATGAAAAAATTGGATGAGATTTCAAGAGGTTTGATTGAATTTGAAGGTTACGGTTTGAGTGAAATGGGGAAAGCTAGAGAGAGAGAGAGAATAAAATGGGGGCGAAAATATGGAGAAATAAAAGAGAAAAAGGTCAAAAACTGAGTATAAACTCTTTTGACGCGCCCGCGAGTCACGAGGTCGCGTCCGCGGCAGACTGGGTAGTCGCGCTCGTGGGTCTTAATTTCGCGCCCGCGGTAGGTGATGCTATACCTTCTCTTTGGGCGCGGCTTTCCATCTACAAGAAGTTAGCATTGGTTGTATTTTTGCTTGTCCGCGCCCGCGGGTGATACCGTCGCGCCCGCAGCACTCTGTAGAGGGCTCTCCTTGGGCGCGGGCAGCATACCAAGGCTCGAGTCTTTCATTTCACCTTTTCCTTCTTTCAAAACTCAGTCATAGCTCTCCAAATCAAGTATCTTGAGGTTATAACCGCCTCAAATCCTACTCCACAAACTCCATGGCCAAAAATTTCAAGTACCTAACAAAAGAGAAAACAAAGAACATGAGATAAGAACCATAGGAAAAGTCAACTAAAACCATCCAAAAATTGAAAATAAAGGAATAAGGGATTGAGAAGCTGGGTTGCCTCACGAGAAGACCTTATTTATGAGGTCATTAGCTTGACCATGAAGAAATATCATCAATTGGGAGGCTTATGATCCAAAGGATCAAACCTAAAGCATTCAATCAAGCCAACTTCTTCTTTGCAAAAATAATGCTTCAAGCGATGACCATTAATCATGAACTTATGATCGCGCGCCTCCAACACAAAAAAAAAACCATAAAGATTGTCTTTGAAATCACAAAAGGCCCCGACCATTTAGATTTGAGCTTTCCGGGCAACAAACGAAGCCTTAAGTTGAGTATCAACACCTTATCTCCAACTTTAAAGCTCTTGTTTCTTATATATTGGTTATGACACTTCTTGGTTTTCTCCTTATATAGTCTTGAGTTCTCATAATCGTCATATATAATCTCTTCAAGTTCATTGAGCTTGAGAAATCTCTTCTCACCGGCCAATGACATATCCATGTTAAGCTCCTTGATATCCCACCAAGCTTTATGTTCCAATTCCACCGACAAGTGACAAGCCTTCCAACAGACCAACCGATAGGGGGTTGTACCAATTGGAGTCTTGTATGCCGTCCTTAGGGCCCATAGTGTGTCATCAAGCTTGAGTGAACAATCCTTCCTACATTTGCTTACCACCATTTCAAAAAGATTCTTAATTTCTCAATTTGACACCTCAACTTGCCCTTGAGTTTGAGGATGGTAGGGAAGACCAACTTTGTGATGAACTCCATACCTCTTGAGAAGAGCTTCATATTGCTTTTGAGGTAAGGAGCTTCATATTGCTCTTGAAGTTTCGAATTCACTTCACCTTATTTTTGCTGAACTGAAATTATTTTGCCGAAACAAAATTATATTTGCTAAACTTAAATTATTTTTACCGAACTTATTAATTTTATAGAATTGAAATTATTTTTTCTGAACTTAAATTAATTTTATTGATTTTCTATCATAATTTTTTACTGAACTTAAATTTAAACGACACATAAGCAAAATTGACGAATGAGATTTCCCAGTTTAAATTAATTAAAAATATAAAATATTATCGAGAGCCACGTAAGATATGATTTTTTTCAGCGCGCCAGGATAATAAATTTTAGTGGTAGCTAATTAAATACGAGATTATTAATTTTTTTTGTAATTAAATAATTTAAATGACATGTAAGCAAAATTGGCGAGTGAAATTTTTCAGTTTCAATTAATTAAAAATATAAAATATTATCTTTTGATATCAGTTTTTTATCAGGAATTAATCTAAATATATAATAAAGTAGATGAAGCCCATGTGATGCACGGGTCGATCTATTTTTTTTTAAAAAAATATTTTTCATATTTATGTGATTACATTTGTTATTTTATTAGTTGTACGTAATATATAATTTTCTCCGTATTTGTTATAAAATATTAGATAAAATTTCTAATCTCTAAAGATAATATTTCGTATTTAATTAATGTAACCATTAAAATCTCATTGGTCAATTATGCTTATGTGGCACTTGAATTATTTATTGGATATAAGTATAAATTATAATCCTACGTGACATGTTAACTAATCTTAGGTGGCATAATCCTATTGTAGCGTTTTATAATTATTAATCCTATGTGGCGCTCTAATAATTTCTTAAAAATAAAATCCTACGCAGCGCTCTAAAATCTCGGGAAAAAACTCCTCTTTACTTATATATATATATATATATATATATATATATATATATATATATATACTAGATGAAGCCCGTGCGATGCACGCATCGATCTATTTTTTTTAAAAAAAAATTATTCATATTTATGTAATTACGTTTGTTATTTTATTAATTGTATGTAATATATCATTTTCTCCGTATTTGTTTTAAAGTATTAGATAAAATTTTTAATCTCAAAAGATAATATTTTGTATTTAATTAATGTAACCATTAAAATCTCATTGGTCATTTATTCTTATGTGGCACTTGAATTATTTATTGGATATAACTATAATTTATAATCTTACGTGGCACGTTAACTAATCTTAGGTGGCATAATCCAATTGTAGCGTTTAAAAAATATTAATCATGTGTGGCGCTCTAATAATTTTTTAAAAATAAAAATCCTACGTGGCGCTCTAAAATCTCGGGAAAAAAATCCCCTTTATATATATATATTAGATTAGATTTTAAAAAATTCAAACAAACTATGCATTACACGGGATTTATCTATTTAATTTTAGTGGGGTGAAATTAATTTTACTTAACTAAACCAGGTCTAACATTTGAATGGAGGGAGTTATATATATATATATATATATATATATATATATATATATATATATATATATATTTTGTTTAGGCCTTCAGGGTAGTACAGTAATTCACAAAGCTCGATCAAACCCACATAAATATTATGGGTAATGCTATACATAGCCCTTAGGCTATATATATAAGCATTGAATTTACTCTTGGAAAATGTATAAAGTTAGAAATTCATGACAAAAACACTCGCAAATCGGTGTAATTAGTGTGTTTTTGTCATAATTTTCTAAATTTAAACAATTTTCAAGAGTAAATTAAATGCTTATATGTAGCCGTTAGGGCTATGTATAACATTTTCCAAATATTATTTCACCAGTTGCCTAATTTTCCGCCGTCGGAGACTGCCGTCAAAGAAGGTTTTCCCGGCGATGATTGCGGCGGAGGAAGTAAAGACTACTAAAGCTCCACGGCGGCGCTTGTCCTGTATGCCTTGCTTCGACGCCCTTTGGTTTTGCTACTGTACTCTCTCTCCTCTCTCTTCTTCTTTGAAATCAAATTTGTGACAGAATTGAAATTACAATTATGTTTGGAATAGTTCGTTTGTTAATGTAATTTGTGCAAACAAATAATCTTCCTCTATTCATTTGATTTCACTCAACTTTCATCTTACTTTTGTTGATCCCTTGGTGATGATGTTAGGTAATTGATGAATGTTGAAGTTTTTTGAACTTTGATCTTGCTTTTGTTAGAGTTTCATTGTGAATTTAGTTATTCTTTTGTTGTTAATTAGAGTTGTGATTGAATTTCAATGGTGGATAATGGACATTTGTTAAAGCTTTGATGGATTTAATTGCTTTCCTAATTGTTGGGCTGAAAAAATAAGTATGAATTACAAATTGGGTAAATATAGGTTAATCTCCGAGATATACAAAATTTGTTTATCACATGGCAATTTTGCGACTATATGTGCAAATAAATTAATTTCTTGAACACTCTTGCGGTAATTCATATTTTCATATTTCTGAAATTCGTTCTTTCTAAATTATGAGGTTACCAGTTACTGGTAAAGATTTCACTCATTTTGGGAATTTAGAGTATAGTTCCAATTGGAATCTATGTGGAATATATCGCCATATCGGCACCAGTAATTCTTGTTCTATCTTTTTACAATGTGGGAAAGCTAGTGATTCTAAGGGGAAAAGTGTTTATTGCTTGGTGTGTAATTTATTGGCATAGTCCTTAGTCACAATACTTTGTATTAACCACAACACTTTTATTGAAATACTACCATGCAGCCAGTGCAATTTGATAAAGGAAATTAGTCTGGTTCTTACTTCTGTGATAACTTCTCTGTTATCTTGCTGATGAAGTGATGATTTCTGATATTTGTGCTGAATCTTGCTTTTAACCTTGTGTTATTAATCTATTATAATATTCAAAAATTGTTTCAGGCTTTCAGCCATAATGTAGGATTGTGTTCTTGTCATTTCAGATTATCTACTTTTTTCATTGATCTAAATTTCTGCTAATGACTGATTTTGTTTTTCACAGCACCAGTTCATCAGGTGCAGCAATATTATCGGCTTGGAGTTCTTGACAATTGTTCAGGGAAGTGGAGTAAGCTTGTTGACTGCTTGAGTTTGAAAACTAAGAGTTCAGCTGAATTGCAGGTTTGTCCAAAAATTATGTTGCAGATAATTGGTCAAGCCTATTTTGCTTCTATTGTTAAAATTATAAACCTACCATCAATTAGTGTTCCAGTCATTTTTTTAATCTCTTAGTTGCATTCTTCACTCGTCAGTACTTCATACTGGTTTTTATTCTTTCTAGTTGTTGGCGAGCCACTTCCAATCTTGCTTAATTTATTTAAGGAAGGGGTGGGGAAGGTTGGAAGTTTGTAACTAATGAGTAGCATGTAATTTGCTCATGAAATTTAATTTCCTTTTATGATCGCATTAATTGTCACTGTTGCTTATCAACAGTTTTAAACTTTTAGGAGTTTTAGGTGCTGCTATTGTCGTTATCTTAAAGGTTACTTTGTCATTATCAATGCTGAAGCAAAATGATATGATGCTCTCCACATGCACTTAGTTGGGTTTCAAGAATGGGAAAGCCTTAAGTCCCAACCATTTATGGGTATCAAAAGTATGAGAATGGTGATATCTTAGAAACATTTTGGGGTTTTGAAAGTGGGGAAACATCAGTTTTTTTGTGTTCCATAGATCTTTTCTTGGGTAGTTGTTAAACCAAGGCGTTAAACAGTCAAGCCTCCAACCCAAACTTATCAGATTTTCCTTGAGCTAATAATTTGTAATCACTCTTCAAATCAGAAGGGAAGAACCCCCTTATTTATTTATTTTTTATTGGGTTATGTTTTATGAAAACGATATTTGAGTTTTATTTATTGAAATTCTCAATGGTCAGTAAGCTCAATGAGCTCTTCATCTGGTAGACTCACTCTCCTGAAGGGCTTACCTCTTTAACACTAAGAACTTGTTTGAATTGTTAACTTTTCATAGAAACTCTTCTTGTTCTTATCCCTTGCCTCCTCACTCTTGTTTAGCAGAGTATCCATATTTTGTATCTTTTTCATTCTTCCCTGAATTAGGTTCTCTAGAATTAAAATTACTATGTCTTTTCCGTCTACTTGCCTATTATTTACACCCTTTGTTTTCTAGAGTTCTAGTGGAAATAGGGACAATGTATGTGGGTATTTTGCTTTGAAGGTGAGAGAGATAGAGAGTAAGGGTTTATTACATAAGGCCTCATTTGGTTGACAGGGGAATGTAGGAATTTGCATTTCATGGGAAGTTATTTCCCTAATGAAATTCCTAGGAATTCCGTAACTTGTTTGGTTGGCATATAGGAATTTAAAGTTCTCTTGAATTTTGATTGACCAAAGGAGAGAAGGGGAGGGCGGTGGGCTTGGTAAATAATTCCATGTATTGTGAGAAGTTGATCGAATTTCCCATGAATTTCCAATTGCTCCATTTTTGCTTTGTGTATCCACCAAACGGTCCAAATTATCAAATCCCATGGATTTCTACTTCCCCTATTTAATGTTGTCGACCAAATAAGGCCTAAAATCGAGCTCCCTAAAGTGGGGTTGTAAATGTTGTAAATGAGAAAAATGAGTTAAAGGTTATCGTAAGAGGAATAAAGTTAGAGTAGAACTTAAGTAGATGGATAAAAACGGAAAGTGATTTGAACTTAGGAAAACGGAGGAAGTACTAAATTCTTGGATGGAGACAACCTTGCATCTAGTTGGGACATTTTTATGATTATATTCCTCTGCGGGGAGGAGGCTTTGTACCTTATCCAAATTCTTGGCCATTCTTGATTTGTGGCAACAAATCCCAATAAGCGAATTTAATATGCTCCATTCCCAGCACAGCAGACACTTTTCTTAAAAAGGGGTTTGACAATGTTGTAAATATTTATGATGCTTGTGTATAAGTAATCTTTATTTGAAGTGCAACAGAAGATTTTAAAGTGCCATGGATATGGGACAATTGTTGCTCTCCATGTGTTTTAATTCTGCACTCTGAAGTTTATTCAAATTGGATAGTTATAAGATTATACTCATTAAGGATGAAGATATCTGAAACTAGAGTAATATATAGAATTTGCAGAAGTAGTATTGATAGGATGCACCACCTATGGTTTCAATTGTGTCAGTAATGGTACATGAAGACACATTAACATGGATACTTCTTTTGTTCTAGTGTAGATGACAAATGTCTTTTTTTCAACTTCTTAGTTCTTACGAGACTGTTTCCATGCAAGTGTAAATCATTAAACCCATGCGCTTGTACTGTATCCCAAATGACATCAAATTCTCTTGCCAATATGTTGGATCAACTGTGTAGATAAGATGGCTACCCTCTTCATAGAAGCTTTACATAAGCCATAGGGTACTGATGCTATTATGAAAATTTCTCCTTTTTTTAAAGCAGGATTAGTGATAAGTCTTTTACTACCTCCGTTACATGTTATTTGCAACGATTTGACATAAAGTAGAGAGGGAAAATGTCTAATCGTTGCAAATAATATTTAATGGAGGTAGTAGAAAAAAAACTAGCCAAATAATCAAAGCATGTGTAGCTAACTAGTAATGGGAAGAGTTTTTTGGCAAGCTTTTCCAGCAATCTACCTAATTATTCTATCATGTGGATTAACTGGTACTCACAGAATAGATCGTAATCTAATGTAGAAGCATTGAAGAGTTGTGAATGCAATCAAGAGTAATCTAATGAAGTGATGAACAGCTTACCGAATGTATGCCGCCTTTTTCCTGATTAGTATTAATGGTAGTGAGGTTATTTTCAATGGATATGCATAATACAATCTGCATTGACGAAGGGGGAAAAAAGAGAAAATAAAGGAAAAGTGGAACAAGGTTTTGTAGATTTTTAAAAGGGAGTTCAGAGGTGCATTAGGATGTAAACAGGTCTCATCATGTTTTGAGATCATGAAGTTGCCTTGTGGCTTCTACTTATATGGATTTAGAGCTGCACTTGCAAAGATCTAGGTTATGCTTTATTACCCGAACATCCTTTTTTCTGAACTTACTAGCTGTTATTTGAACTTATTTCTAGCTGTGAGATGAACATTGGTATCCCTTATCTGTACATTTTTCCGAAACTTATTTTCTTTAGGTGAAAAAAACAAGGTCCTGGTATTTTTCCTTGGTAAATATTTTGCTTAGACCAAATGTTAGATCTTGGATGTCTACTGCTCTAATTTGTATCTTAAGCAATAAATTGTTCTGATGACTTGTGTAGTAATAGATTCAGCAAGTTATTGATCTCCTGCTTGCAAAGGCGCTCCCCCCCCCCCCCCTCCTCTCTTCCTCTGCCGTATGCATGCTGGTCTGTTTATTTAGACTCTTGAATCTTCATCCAAGTGGTTTTTCTACTCTGACTGACTGAGAAAGTTATCTGCTGAATGCAGGATATTTTGGAAACACGTGAGAAAGAAAAGTTTCATATTTGGTCTTTTAGGACACCGGAAGAATCAGCTGCTAAATGGCAACAGTGGTACGGACATTTAGATGAACCAGAGTAACTACTTCCTACAAGTTTCTCTTTTTCAGACGCTTTCCATTAGTTCAGTTGAGTGATTTAACCAGAGTGCCATATCAAAGCGGTGACTGTCCTTTTACAAACTCATTTTCAATTTCTTTACCAAAAATCACTGATTTTTCAATGTATGAATTAGGACTGAATTTTCTATTATTACCAAAGCTATTGACTCGTAGGACATTATATTTTGGAACAAATTATTGCTACTTGGACATATGGTAATCAAATCATAGCTTATTGAATTCATGAGCAAAATTTTGTCAAGTGTTGCTGATAATTTGATTGGCCAAGGTTGTTAATTTTGCGTTGAACTTCTCTTGTTATCTTCAGCAGAGTTGTACATTGTACATGGTATGTTTTGAACCTGTGAAAACAGGCTAGAAAATGTAGTAAAGTGATTTATTAAAATTTGATACAAGTTGGTTGTTTTAATTTTTTTTTAAATGCGATCTCTTCAATTGGTTGTCATCCAATGTTTGAAAGAATGTTTTTAATCTTATGTAGTACAGAGTACATTGGATATATCACTGTACAGTATACCTAATCATTTTACCATTTTTAATTTAATAATGAATGAATAATACTCTAGGACTGAGATCATGGAATTGGCATCCATGCTTAGCTTCAATGATCGTATTGAATAAAAAGGACTATGTATTTATAGCCTAGTAATTTGGTAATGACTTCCAAGATTTGTTTGCTACTAAAGGCATCCTCAGCTCAAAGAATCAGAAGGAATATCCAAGGAATAAACGGCATTAGAGTTAGGAACTATCTGCCTGGTTGCTGCAAAGACTGCGATTACTATAATCAACAAGACAGATCCTAGGATGAGATTCATCCTAAAAAGTTCAACTTCTCTTGGGTGGTTTAAAGGTCAAGTTGAAGAAAATGTCAGGCAGTATACCAAGCCAAATCTCCGATCAGTGCATTAACATCTCCAAAAATTGGAAAGAACCTAGCTATGGTAGTGGTTGCAATCACAGAAATGGACCTTTTTTTTTTTTTTTTAAGAAATCACAGAAATGGACCTTGAGATTACTCTCAATGTCACATTGTGGGTTTACACTTTGGATCAAAAAACATCAACTCCAGAAATATGTTACTCTCTCCGTGTTTTTTAAGTGTTACAGTTTGACCGCCACATAGTTTTAGGCAATTTAGCTGACTTAAATAAAATAAAGGTAAGTGGGGTAGTTGGATAATTAAAAAATTGTAAAAGTGTTGTGAAATAAAGGGAAAGATGAGAGATTGAAAGAGAATAAATCTATGTATATTATTCCATATGATAAGGTGTATATATACATACCATATATTAGGGTTTGATTGGATAAGAATATAAACCCTAGATCTAGATTGTTCCGGAATGATACAAAGGAGGATAATGAATATCCACAAATATTTCATAATACTCCCCCTTGGATATCCATTATTGAATATTGGGCAAGAGTTACGAGCAAGAACAAGTTTGTAAGAATATATAACTTTATTATGTTTGATACATGCATTACCAAAAGAATTTATGGTTTAAGTGCAAGGGATTTCAAGGTTGTTAGATAACTTAATTTATTTCATATCCCCACATGCAAGGATTAGGGGGAGATATTATTCATTTTGTTATTATATGTAATCTTTGCACATGAATTGTATGATATATTGATGGTCAGTAGTGCATACATTAGCATTAATATCAATGTCAATAATTTATTTAATAAAAACGACCGCATAATATTACATATTTACAAATGACACCATCATGGATGTAAAGAAATGAATGTCATTGATCATTACTAGTTGTAAATGCTCCAATTAAAATTATTCTCCCAGAAGGACAACATCGGTTACTAATGAAACCTAAAGCACGTACGGCTGAAGCATTGTAATCCAATAGATTTAAAAAAAAAAAAACCTTTGGAAAAAGGAATCGAGCAACTATTGACAATGACAATATGTCTCATGATTATATAAAAGACTCTTAAAAAGTATGAAATATCTAACAAGATTAAGATGTATTAAGATTATAGTCAAAAATCCAGTAGAGAATATATAAGTAATTATTGGATAAAATATTAGTTGATTGTCTTGCCAATTGTATAAGGAAATACATGTTGGTGCTGATAACGTGTTGTGAAATAAGGGGAAAGATGAGAGATTGAAAGAGAATAAATCTGTGTATATTATTCCGTATGATAAGGAGTATATATACATACAATATATTATGGTTTGATTGGATAAGAATATAAACCCTAGATCTAGATTGTTCCGGAATGATACAAAGGAGGATAATGGATATCCACAAATATTTCATAACAAAAAGAAAGATAGTGAAGTTAATAGTTTATTAAAAAGTAATGAATGTGAGAGGAAATATATAATTAAAAATAATAGTGGGTTTGGATGGGAACTATGAGAGGAGAGAGATATAATATTTTAATGTAGCTTTTTGCCAAAAAAGGAAGTGTAACACTTTAAAAAACACGGAGGGAGTAGCTGGTTACAAGTATGCCTGTTGAAGCAAAAAAGTAATTAGTTTAAGATAATAATTTGGATTTGAAATCACTTCTATGAAAAAGGCTTTTTTAATCAACCCCAACTCTTATTCGTCTTAAACTAACAAAACTTATTTTTCTTGAAGTTACCTCGTTCTAAGTTGAAACGAACACAGGCTAAATTAAGTACAGGATTAATGAATTGTTAACATAATAAGATCATGACTTCACAAGAGTGTAATTTAACTACCCCAGAAACAACGGATACTTGAGGTTATGAAGCTGATTGTGGTGATAAGAAACCAATACCATTTATGCACTAAAACATAAATTGAAAATTGAAAATCAAAACAAGTCGATTAAAATTGAAAATTAATCTCATTCGCAATTTGCGTTACACCCGTGTAAGGTAATCCAATCCCAACATGACAATATTGAAGGAAATGTGTCCTCGCTTTAGTGCAATTACTTAATATAATTATGGATCGTATTATGGAGATAGTAATTCGTTTATTTGGGTCGTCTATACGTCTTGCTAGAGAATGATATAGAACTTTGGGTTAGTAAGTAACAAACCCGAAGCCCGCCTAAACGGATCCTACAAGGTCACACATTAGGATTGAATCAATAAAGAAACCCGAAGCCCAAAGTGGGCCTTAGGGTGACCGGCCAAAAAAGGGAAAGGGGAGAGAAAACCCTAACCTAATTAATAATAATATGATTATATATTAATTAGTCGGGGATAATAAAAATATAGAGTATTCAGTTTTCTGAAAAACAACGTAAGTTTTCTCTCCAAAAATTGGTTCTCAACTCCAAGAAAGGTGAAAGGTTTTTCCCGTCCAATTAGCATTGGTGGAGTGTTGATTCAATCCGGTGGACCAAATAGAGGAGTTGCAATTGAGGCTCTTTGTCTCCGGTAGAGAAAGATTGCTAAGAGGATTCACGCTTCAAAGGTTAATTCTAAACTATTATGTGATCCTTATTTGTATATGCATGAGATCCTGTTTAGGTGCGTATGAATGTGATTCATGAAATTCTGTTTAGAGTACCTAAAAACCTTCAGTGGTATCAGTTAGCCCCTTGCATATAGTTTACTGGTCACAATAATATGATTATTTTGATGTGTGAATTAGGCTAATTTTAATTCGATTAAGGGGAGGAATTGAATTATGGATTAAAATAACCTTATTAAAATATGATTTTGATTGATTGGAATTGATTAAATTGTGAATTTAATTGCTTAAATATCCTCTAACCATATTTTTTTTTAAGAACCCTAAAGCCCCAAAATTTCGAATTTGATGGTTATGAACCCTAATTTTCGATTTTAAAGGTTAAATTTATATAATATAATCTATTTTTCATATTTAAAATTGTTTAGATATGATTAATTAATTCATGTAAAATTGGTTTTATATGAATTGAGAATTATTTTATATGAAAAGCCCTAAATTAATTAAAATGGAGATTTTGATTAATTTTTCTGAAATTATACATAAAGGAGTTTGTGTTTAATTATAATTAGATCACCAAAATTAATTTTGCAAAAGTTGTGAAATTAATTTAACTCAAACAAAAAAAAATTTAATAGCTCGAAGGGGAGCAGCCACGGCTGGGTGGCAGAACCACCTAATGGTGGGCCACAGTGGCTGATCCGGTGGTTGGAAATGGGGGAGGGGCGGCAGGGGAGTCGGTGTTAGGCAAGAGCAGAGCTGAACCTGCAACTGTTGCACGGTTTCAGCTCTGCTCGAGCTGGTTGGCGTGCTGGTGATGTGTCTATTTTATATAGTATTTTAACCCCGTCCCTTGGTCATAATTAGTAGTATTTTTGGCTCTTTAGAGCCACTTTTATTACTACTTGGTGTTTTCTAGTGTTTTCGTAGATTTGGTTGACTTTTGCAGGGATTTATACTTTTTGAGTATTTTTCCGAGATATTTTGGAGCAATCACGAACATTGGAGAAGCACGACCAGATTTTATAGCCAAGGGTCGGTTAGAGCCATCAAACCGGTGATTAAGGGCTCGGTATAGGTGATACCGAGGCATTTGGACCGAGTATTCAAGAACCAAAGAGGAAACCCAGATTGGCCCGAAGAATTGGAGCCCAATCGAAGTCCAAATAGTGGCCCAAATGAACCGCCCGGCCAAAAAGGCTGGCGCCCGGAGGCGCGCCCGGCCGGGCGGGAGAAGCTTAGTCTGGCGCCCGGTGACGCGCCCGGCCGGGCGCGAGATTAGTATTAGAGTCAGAAAAGGCGCGCCCAATCAGGCGGTGCCTCGCCCGATCGGGCGCGTGTTTTCTTAGTAGACGATTTACGTAGTTTTAATTTGTTTTAGTTTAGGACTTTTGTACGGAGTATAAATACTCCTCCGTAATACGTCTTTATCACCTCTCTTCTACCTCTTCTTCTTCTTCTCCTCTTTACTTTTTCTTTACTCTCTTAATTATTCTCTTAAAATTCTCTCTCTAAACCTTTGTTCTTAATTCTACTTTTAATTCCGGATTTATTTTGGTAACGATTCCTCTTCTCTAAATCTTAGTTATTCATTCTATTCCTTTAATCATGTCTTATTTTATTGCTTTTATTTGTTTAGTTTTTAATATGTGTGAGTAGTTTTATTTCTAGGGTTTATGGGGACCTAATAAATAATATGAAGGGGTAATTTGTTGTTGTTAATTATCAATGCTAGATTAATTTCCTATTGATTGATTTAATGCTCTGTGACTAGATTAGGCCTATCTTTTATGCATGAGTTTGACAATATTGATTCAAGATTCGAGAGATGAGAATTAATGTTTAGGTCTAGTTTCAATAGGCAGATTAATTTATAAATGGTTAAGTCGAGATTCGAGAGATGAGATTTAATACCGGTAGATTAATTCTGTGATTGTAATACGTAGCGAAAGCCCTTTACAATCTGGTT